AGTTTTTAATAACTGTTATAAATAAAGGTCATCACTATATATAATTGAATTTCTAGATCAAAAGAAATTTCGATCTGAAATTTCGCCCTTAAATCAGTTTCTATGAACCTTAAATTGCCCTGAAATTTTCAGTCAAAACGGATACTTTGTTGTTGAAATATTGGACGTAAAAAGAAATCGGCAACATTTTTCAAAAAAACTCACAAAATCTGGCTTCTCTTTTAATATGTCGTATTTCCAAGAGTAAACAACAGTTGTTGCCAAAAATTTCAAGTTGAAATTCCTTTGTTTCAATTTTTTTCTTGAGGCGAAATATTTCACAGAAAGAACATTTTCTTTATGATCGTGTCTTGCGTTAGTGAAATAGTTTAAAATTTACGAGATGATTTCATCAGATATCTTAACACTATGTTTAATAATATTGCTTTAGAAAAACTAAAACCGCACGTCATTTATATATGTATAAAAATAAACTTAAAAAAAGAAAAGTGATATTAAAAAAAAATCTGAGTCGTAAAAGATTCATTGTTCAGTTTAAGAGTCACTTTCATCTCTGTATGATCACTAAGACCATATCAGTTCAGAAAAATTATGATTTTTGCATATAAACTCTTGTAATGGAATTTATTAAAATTATTTTAATGTCCTTTGGAAGGAACATTGGACATGCTAAGTAGTGAAAAATTTTGTTTTGATTTAGTTGTCTGATCTTTATTTATTGAATTATGAGTATTTTATTTATTTTTCATGAACAAAATCAATTAAAACATATATAACTCAACAAACAAAAACTAGAACACTAAACCCTAATAGATTGTTTTACTATTGATCGAATGATAATAGTCTCAAATTAGAAAGTAATATGACAATTGAAAATGTTTCGTTCTAAGCTGTGTCTGAAGCTAAAATGCAATGTGTTTTTCTAATCTCAGTTTCTCTTATCACCAATCATTAGCTCATTTGTGAGAATCTATCAATGACTTGATTTATAATAGTCATTGTCGTGAATAAATATCTTTTTTTTACCTTGGAAAGTGGATATTTGACAACTTCATCTTCAATTTTAATCTGAACTTCGGATAATGGTATGTATAAATGCTAGAAAAATAAAAATTATAAATAAGAAATTTTTTTAATTAAATTTATACTTGTTTAAGAATTTTTATGCTTTCATGAATAGGTTTTGGTAAACCAATTAATGTTGTTAGATCATCTTTTATTGTAAAACCAACAAATTTCTTTCGAGTATGTTCAAGAAATGCTTCTAAATCTTTTTGTCTATATAAATAAATAAATATATACATTTTAAAACATAAATTATTACGTAAAAAAAGTTTCTTTCTATTTTTTTTACCTAACTTTTGGTACCCAAGGTAATTCTTTCATAAGTAAAGTTGATGCTGGATCAACACTTGATGTATCACTAGCTAATGATGTCATTGATTCTGATGAACTAAGAGATGAAGTTGTCGTTGATGGTATAATTGTTGTTGTATCATCATCAGTTGATGTATTATTAGTTCCACTTGTTGAACCATCATCACTAACAGCATCAGCATCCAAAGCTGATTGTTTTGTAAAACTCTGTTTACAAAAAAAGAAAAAAAATGTCGAAGATCATGAATAATATTTATTATTAAATTACTTGTCGTTTAGCTCGACGTGCACTACTTCCACCTTCAGTTTGACCTTGTATTTCTAAACATTCAGCACCTGCTAATGGTGGTGATATAGGTGGCATTCTTGCAATAACTTTAGCTGGATTTTCAGCAATAGATTCAAGATTATGTTCACGTCTAGCTATATTTTTTTGTTCAAATGCATCATCAACACCACCAAGAGTAAACTATTTTAAAACAATATTAATAGTTAAATTAAAAAAGAATATATATATATATACAAACCAATAATATTTTCCAAAGAAGTAAAAGAAGTTTTCGAATAGGTAATGGTGGTGAAGGTGCATTACAAAAAACACATATTGCATGATATAATATACTAGCAAATAATTCATTATTATCATTTGGATGAGCTATTAAAGATAAGAAAAATATGAATAGAATTAAATATTTTGCCTTGAAGTTTTCTTCTATGAGTACTCAGATCTAATCAAGTTTTCTCTCATAATTTTTTTTTTTTTTTTTTTTGGATCATAGAAATAAAAAATAATGTTTTCATCATAGACTCTTTCATTAAAGTCTATTGATTTCTGATAATTTGTTTACACAAAATATCATACAAAAGAATTTTAGTTTATTATCAATATATATAGGCTCATAGTATTTTATAATTTTTAATAGTTAATTTATTATATTCAGAATCATGATGAAAATCTACATGGAACTAATGAAATTTCGACATATTCTGTGTCAAATGAAAAGTTTTACTGCAAATGTGTTTCCGTGGAGAAGTGATTTGAATAAAATATATGTGGTTCGGGTGTAGATTTTCACGCTACCTTTTGAACATGCTATCCAACTGAGACTAATCATTTTTTCAAGTTCTATCAAATTATATATAAATCAATGACAAAAAAATAAAATAATATATGAATCTTACATAATTCATGTTTTAATAATTCTTGAAAATTTTTCCATTGTTCATCTGTATTTTCATTTATTTGTCGTGCAAATTCAATTATTGTATAAAGTATACTAATAATAACTCTAATAGAAATAAAATGAAAATATAATCAAAAAAGAAAATTGTCTTTTTTTTTGAACCTCATTTCTTGATTATCACTTAAATTTTTATTTGTTGTTTTCATATTATTTTCATTACATAAGCTAAAGCAAAAAAAAGTAATGAAAATAATTTATTGAAAAATAAAATATTATTCAACATACTGATTCAATTCCATATTAAATAAATCCATAAATATATGAACACCATCACATGTATATAATAATAAAACATTTTCTTTAGCATTTAAAATATATTCATCCACGTCTGAACATTGATAAAATATACCTAAAATGATAAATTTCGATACATTTTAATTTTCATAATATACATAATCTATCATCCTTAGACTCAATACAATGCAATAATAACTCGTCTACGATAATTTATTGTGATACTATACGAAAAACAAAATTCATAACCATGGAAAAGTTTGTATTGTTAGGTAGACATCTAGTTCACTGTCACACTAATAAGTGGAAAAATTGATTCACAAATAAAAAATTTCTCTTTGAAAAAAACAAAACATGAGTTCAATTCAATGAACTAGCACAATTTTCTACAACTTCAAATTAGACGAAACTTTCCGTACAATACTGCTTCACTCATAACACCGATATAGTGTTCCAGGACTGACAAGAAAACGTTTTCAACTGTCAAATCATTTTTGAGTTCGGACTTTGTGCATAAGATAGATCCTAATGAGATATGAAATATTCTGTCCAGAGTTATAGACATTTTACTGGAATTTTAGCCTAGGGTATGATATATACGACGGTGGCGGATCTAGTCGTTCAGCGCTTTCGGCGATTGAAGTTTCAAAGCGATTACGCCACGTAAAACTTACTACGTAATTTAACCTTTCCCTAACCAACATAGAAACCTCACAAAGATAATTCCATTCGCGCTGACCTATACTTCTTACTGCTTCAAAAATAAAGTAGCTCCCCTCACTCTGGCAAAATCCTAAATCCGCCACTGATATACGAACAAATTGCATGATGATGTTTTGGTCTGAGATTTTGCTCGCAGGCAGGTCTATTGATGATTAGCATACTCTGAAAATTTCAGCTCAAAAGAACATTTTCTTCCCGAGATATTAAAGTCCCAAGAAAAAAAAGAAAATTCTAGCATTTGTTGTCCTATATAAGTCATTTTTTGGATGTTTATATCTCGGCAAGAAAATGTTCTTTTGAGCTGAAATTTTCAGAGTATGCTAATCATCAATAGACCTGTCTGTGGGAAAAATCTCAGACAGAAACATCGTTATTCAATTTGTTCGTATATATCATGCTGTAGGCTAAAATTCCAGTAAAATGCCTATAACTCTGAATGGAAGACCTAAGAAGATTTAATCTCTTGAAGTTTTTCATATCCTATTTTATGCATAGAGTTCGGACTCAAAACGAATTTAACAGTTGAAAACGTTTCATCGTCAGTTTCAAATGTTCGAGAAAAGTATCAAATTTCAAAAAAACCTCATAATTGGACTTAACATCGAATGAAGGAATATTTTTTCGCCTTTATACAAAAAAGAACTTTTCTCAGATTGTATCAACATGTTAATGATAATAAATTAGTATTAAACAAAAGAAAATCATTACCTTGTACAAGATATAGAATAGCTCTCATTGCTTGACATCTTCGAGTTCGATCTACAAGTTCACATTGTTCCAATAAATAAACAATAAAATCAATTTTATCATCTTTTGAATAATCTTTCCATTTTTTATTTTCACCATCTATTCAAATAAAAAAAACATGCAATAAGAATTAAAAATAAAACATAAACTCTATATATTTATTTCATACATTTAGCTTGAAATAAAATATTAAATGCTTCAGCATTCCAAACAAATTCTGGTTCTTCTGAATAAGTATATAACTCTATAAACATAAAAAAAAAAACACATAAATCTATGAATTATAATTCAAATTCAAATTTCTACCAGCTATTTCAGCATATATTGTATCTGAATCATTATATATAAAATTAAATTCTGGTACATCCAATAATGTCTAATTAAAAACAGAAAAAAAAAAGAACAATAATTTCTAAACCAAAGTCTTATTTAAAAAAACAAACTCTTTACATCTGGATTAATTGCTGGATTTCGAGGAATAACATCTCGTGGTTTATTAACAACTCGACGGACAACACTAGCAGTATCCATTTTTATTTAAACAATAAAAAGAATCTGATTTCTTTTGACAACTTTTCCTTCCATATTTTACCCATGTGTATTAACTATGATGATTCATCATAAGAAACAAAACAATATGTTTTCCTTTTTTGAGCAACAAAATCAAAAAAAACCATGCTTTCGTTAACAGAATTCTATTCTTGGTTAAGTATTCGTCCTATTGAATTATTATTTATTCTATTTGGTTGGTTAAGTTTTTCAATTTTATTAGTATTACGTTTTGATTTTAATATAAATACAATTACAGATATTCATTTATTTCTTCCATTATTTTTAACTAATGCAATACATCTATATTTTATTCTTATTGTATTACTTCGTTTATGGTTTGAACAAAAACAACGTACTAGTTTAACACCAACATATACATATCGTTTAATTGTACATAAAATTTTTACACATATACCATTAATTGTTTGTTTAATTATGTTTAATAATTTATTATTTAAAGCATTTATTAATAAACAATTATTATCAATACATATATTTAATCAATGTATGATACCATTATATTTATTTATGAGTTGGATATTTTTAAAAATATTTATTTGTAAAAAACAAACTAATATTACAGTTGTTGCTCAATCATAGATTTTATATTTATCGAAAAATTATATTAGCTGTTTTTTTTTGTTGTTGTTGTTGTTGTTGTTGATATAAATAAAGTGTATATTTATGAACAAATTTTTTTTTGAAATATACAGAAAGAGTGTCTCAGAAATTCTGATACATTTTAAAAATTCATCGTTCTCACAGTAAAGTCTTTAAAAACTTTGATAGATTATTGAACATATTTTTGTATTACATAACTACAAAGTTTCAAGTCTATAACTTGTATTATGAATGAAAAATAGTAACAGCACTATCATGTACTATTTTTTTGATTATGTTAGTTCAACGTTCGCGTATTTGATTACTACCCTGCTCGATTACTAATTTTAATCGTATTGGTATTTTTGTTCCATTTCTTTTTAATGTCGTTTTTCGATTGTTCAATATTACTGTATTCTCGCCTCCCCTAAATTTACTTTTAATAGATCCGAAGCGTTTCCAATAGGCCAAATGTCGATTAGTTTTGTAGCACAATTTATTGATAAAATTCGATTAATAAAAATATGTTTAACAATATCCAAAGCTTCTCACCCCCTCTATTTATGATAACATTTCGTAAATTACTTAATTCTTTAGCTGCTTTTTGTGCTACAATTGTCCGAATGAATTTTGAATATCCATTATCCGTAAAATATATTTTCTTACGGTGATCACTATTTTGGGGTATGATGAGCTCTAACCATTCATCGATAAAAATTGGAGATTGGTGAGCGATTCTTGTATCGAATTTTGTTAATATAAATCATAAAAAATTGAAAAAATAGTGCATGACAATGTTGTTATAGATTCTCACCTATAGTAAAAGCTACAGATCTGAAACTTTGTAGTTATGTAGTACTAAGTATGTAAAATAATCTGCTAAAGTTTCAAAGATATTGCTTTTGTTGAATGCGAGAACGATGAATTTTAAAAACGTATTTAGAATTTCTGGGACATTCTTTATACATTTTTCATCAAAAAATAAACATACATTGAATTTTGATTAGAATGAACCTTTCAATAGCGTCAAAGTTTTCAAATCCATATATAATTTGATATTTTATTTAATTATGCTAGAATTTTTCTATAGTCATTTTTGACTTTGAAATAATTTTATCAATGAAATTTAGAAAATTTTTAGTTGTTTCTATATTGAGATTTGAATATTTAAGTACAAAATTTGTTTTTTTGTATTACATAATAGAATTTTCAGCATTTGTATCTCATAATAAAAATTAATATTTTTAAAAAGAAGTAGTCATATTAAGAAAATTATTTATATAAAATTTCAAATTGAACTAAGTATGATTACAAAGTTTTGGCAAAATTTTAGTTGATGAATATATAATTAGAACTTCAATTTAAAACATTAAATTTTCTTTATAGTAGTATTTATTTATATCAAACTATTTTGCAATAACTGCTGGAAGGCGGCGACTCACTTTCAATCAAAATTCAAGATGCATGTAAATTCAAACCTTAAGAAAAAAAAGAAAAGTCAATTTTTTTTTCATCTATTACAACTATGACATAAAATAGAATTTCTTTTTTTTGTCTTTTTAAATTAAAATTATTCGACATTTATGAAATAATATCAAAATTTATTATTTTATTTGACTTTTTTGTTTTTCAGGAATGTTTTTAATTTTGTTAGAGAAAAATCATCGAGTGATGAATTTATTTATTTTTTCTTATATTACTATTTGAGATATGTTTTGATATGTGATAAGATTATAGAATATTACTGAAGTTGATTTATGATAGTTCTGAGTTATTTCTATTATCAAAATTGAAGATAACATTTCGATGGTAATATATGATATTGTACATCATGTTTTTATAAATAGAATTTTTATATTATTAAAAATTGTTTGTTCTAATAAACTAAAATTAATTATTTGAAAGAACATTTCGTAAAATATGATTCATTTATATTCATGGAAATTTTTTTTCTGCTTGTCAAAATAAATAAAAATAAATGTTATAGGAAAAATTAGAATTTAGAAATATATTTAAATATTCTTATATTCTAATTTCTTCTCTTACAATAAAAAAAAACAAGTACAACTTTTATTACAAATATATTTTAAATGAAAATACATATATGTATTACTATTGCATTAAATTAAATCAAATTAATTAAATATCTTATCATGTTTATTTATGTTTATCAAACTTTCGTCACACCGAACATTATTTTTAAGTTATTTCATCAATTCGAATATCAAATAGTAAAGAAAAAAAAAAGCGAATGATCAATATACTGTTTGTTATCTTTTTTTTCTCTCTCGTATAAGAACAAATCTATTCTTTGATAATCATCTGATAGACCAAAAAAACAAAACGAGATGGGAATAAACTTTCCCTTCTTTTAGAACAAACAAAAACAAAATGAACTAGAGATTAGTGCATCACTATACACAAACAAATAAAACGGAACAAAAAAAAAAAATCAATCAATCAATAAATCAAACTTTGGTTTTTCTTTCTTTTTTTTTATTTGCAAAGAGGACACACACGCACACACACAAATACGTTCATATTAAGTCTATATTGTTTTTGTTTTTTTCAAATTTCTCTTTGTATTAAATCATCCTGGATAAAGACCTGATTGTCGAACAGCAGTTTGAAGTAAATGTTGAGCTTGAGATATTTGATTTGGTGTACCAACAATAGTTATTATACGATCATTTGTTCCCGGTAATGGATCATCTATTTTAATTGATGCACCCGATTGTTGACGAATTTGAGAAATACGTGTACCACGAGAACCAATTATAGCTCCAGCAAGTTCATGTGGAATTGTAACCTAAATAAAATTTAAAACAAAATTTTATTCTCTTTTCTTTTATATCTTACTTGTTGTGTTTGTGTAGCAGGAGGTTGTGAAAATGAACTGATTAAAGGACGCATTGGACCTTGATTACCACCACCACCACCACCACCACTACCACCACCCATCATAGGTTGTGATGGTGGTGGATAAAAATCTTGATTTGTTGGACCAACATAATCATCATTATACATACCACCACCACCACCACCACGCATATTATTCATATTCCAATTATCAAAATTGTTATATCCTCTACCACCACCACCACCACCACCACCACCGCCACTACGAACTCGTCGATCACCGTATACACTTGTATCATCATGTGCAAAACCACCTGAGGAATACATTTGATATTATCTATTAAAAATGACAAACAAAAAAATCTATGTATATTTACCATAGCCTTGGATTTGATGTTCGACATAACATGATGGATCATCTAAATATTGATAAATTAATATAAAAACAAGAATCAAATTTATTTTTATTTTTTATATACATGGACGAATAGGACCACGAGGTGGAATTTTTTCAATTTGTGTAAATATATCACGAAGACAACTAAGTATAGCTTGTTGTTCACCTCGACATAAAATAACACGATCAGTTGAATTTGGACTTAAATTTAATAGAAACAAAATTCATTCATTAAAAAAAAACAAATCATAAGAAAATTATTTACCATGTTTCAGTAAATACTTTAACTTCAAGTCCATGTCGAGCTCTAAATTTATTTTTATATTTACAAAATAAAAAAATCTTTCTTTTTTTTTTTGCTTTCATACCTTAATTCTTTCACACGTTCACCTCCTTTTCCAATAATAGCACCTAAAAAATAAAACCTTTTACTATGTAATCTAATGATAGACTAGATAAATTTACCTGCTTGTGATGTATGAACAAGAGCACGTAATTCACTTGCATCTTGACGTAATTTTTGATTTTCAGCCATTGTTGCTAATGCATCTGTAAGACACTCAAGACATGGTTCAAGTTCACCAGCTATTGTTAAAATACGTTCAGGTCCATCTTGATCCTAAAATTTAAATATGAATAAAAATAAATTATTAAATACTATTATAGTTATGTTAGAAATAGATATCAAAGTTAGTTGTAGAAAATGAAATATATATTTCTGAATTTAGATTGACTTCGAAAAAAATGTTTAAAAATAAAATATTATCTAGCACACAATTATACATAGTCAAAAAAAATGATAAAGATGTAGATCACGCTCGTATCTTTATCCGCACATCCCATATACTTTTCATATTATAATGAACTTCTCAATCCTATAAAACGTCAAAGTACAAATTGTATCCTTTTAATTGAATTAAGTAATATAACTCTTTCAGAACGGAATTGTTTTTATTAAATAAAATAATGATACATCGAATATTGAAATATGCATTTTTTTTTGATTTCTAAAAAGGCTTAAATTAATTTAGAAGAATTTTACCGGAACTTGAATAATTGTTTTATATTTCGATCTTAACATTTGAATATTTTTTCCTTGTCGACCAATAATTGCTCCAGCATCACCTATATTTTAAAATAAATTCAAAAAAAAAAAAGAAAAACAAGAAAAATTTTTTTTTTGTTTTTCATACGTGAAGCCAATAAAAATCTTAAATCAACTTTATTTGAACGTGTTCGTTTAACATTATTTGTATTATCTTGATTATCATTTCCATCATTAGCTGAACGTTTATTATTTGTAGTGAGATTCGTGTCCATGGTATGCAAATGTATATAATTGATATGAATGCAAATGCCCCAAGGAATCTGCAAGATTGACTAAGATAATTATATATATATATATATTAAATAAAATTTCATTTAATAATTATTTCATTTTTTTTTTCAATACAAAATAAAACAAAAAGTTTAGCAAAATAAAAATGAAAAAACAAATAGTAAATATATATATATATATATAGATAGATAGATATATATGTTATATAATAAAAACAGAATATATATATAATTAGCCTTATTTTTCTCGAAAGGAGAGAGAATATTCGATGATAGTGATGATTAGAGAGGAACACATGTGTTTCCTCTTTAAACCAAAGTCAATTAAATTGACAGTAAGGTGAAAATCTCGGACCCCAAGGAATTAGGAGAGGGAGATCAGAAGATGGATGCGAAGGCCAGGAGTAGATATTTCCCAATAATAACGGAGGAATCTAGAATGAAGATACAGACGGGTTAAGAAAATTTTCTCACTTGAAAATTTTTAAATTTTTTTTTGTTTTTTTTTTTTTTGTCGAAAATCATCAATAAATATTTGGAGGTGTTGGAAAATAAAATGAGAAAACAAAAAAGGTTTTTGTTTTTTTGATTATACATACCTTCAATAGAAACTGATGACATTGATCTTTGAACTAATTGATAGAAGAAGTATAAGTAAGAACTTGGACAACACTTAAATGAGACAAACATTGTTCGTTTCTATTTTTTTTTTCTAATTGTTTATTGTTTATTTTATTTTTTTTATTTTTGTTAATAAAAATTTTGTTTTTAATATTTTCATTAAAAAAATAAAATAATGATATATAATTTGAATTTAAAGTTTCTTTTTTTCTATACATAATATTATTGTAAATATTATTTGATTGGTGTTGCATTGACCAATGAGATTTTATCTTTTGGATTTGAAATGACACAATGTAAGAAAGTGTTTTATCAGTATTTCTTTTGAATATGAATGATAGAACTCTATGCAGGATTTTAATTGGCAAAACGAAAAAGAGTACATAGGCCTTTCCTAAAGAATAATAACCGTTATATTAAAATTTTAACCTATAGGATAATTTCTAGTGAATGACTTTATTTAATGACTATAATTTTAAAAGGAAGGTCTATTATGTTATTGGAATACTAGATGATATATTTTCATGTATAGATTAACAAAAAAAATTATTGATTATGCAGTTTATATTGTTTTCAATCGGCTTCAAAAATCCGGTTTTTTTTTTTACAGTATAATCAACATTCACTTAGATAAACTTTGATGTTTTCAATGGTTGTTCATTATGCTAATGAAGTTAATTGAACAATAGCTTGAAAATTTTCATTCTTCAACATTGGATTATCAGTATTTCAAAAACCAAAAAAAAAAGTATTGAATATGAAATCTAATCATTATGTGAATTTGATATAATCATGAATTAAATATTATAAGTCAAAATTTTTTGCATATTCATCAAATAACTTCAGCTAAAAGATCTATATACATAAATTCTTTTACTTTGGAGTATGTAAAAAAAAAAGTAGTCGCGACTATAGATAAAAAATATAATAGACTAAAGTTAATCGAATTTTTACTTTAGTAAATATTTGCTGTAGTAATCATAGTTGTCTACATACAATCAATTTGTTTCAAAATTTCTCATCATTGATTACAAAATTGTGTACACTAATCAGAAATCGATTGATTATTTAAGTTTATGAATTTGATAGAGTAACTAAAAAACTTCATTGTGATGTCTCGTTCTTATTCTTGATATGCTTCGTTATTTGATTTTATTGATTATTTATTTATGATATTTTTTACTATATCATTCTCTTGTCTCTTCCTTCCTTTTGTGAGTCACTATATATATATATCACTAATTTGTTTATCGTTTTTCTTTGATTTCACTTCCTATATAAGCAATGATAAAAGTTACATTACATGATTAGACTAAAATTATGACATACATAGTATTGGATTTGACCAAGTTTATAAAACATGTAGTTTGATCTCATCATAATTATCTTCGATCTTCTAAATACTAGCTAATGATTTTTTTTTTTTATTTCATTTTGTTGATAATAGCTATGGACAATCATTAATATAGTTTTAGTTATGAGTAGTCTATTAATATTCTTGAGAAATTTTGAAATAATAACTTATAACTAAAATCCTTATTGAAGTAAAAAGTTGATTGATTTTCTTCTACAATATTTTTATTTACTTTTGTTAAACCTTAAATATTTTATATTTTTTTAAGTCTTAACATGATCAAATTTCATTGAAAGTATTTTTTTCAATGTCAATCATATTACTTTTTTTGTTAGTTTATCATAGATAAACTTTAATGTATACGAAAATAGTTTTCTTTTATATGTTAAGATAATCAATTTTTTCTTTTTTTTTTGTTATTATAACATACAAAAAAGAAAAGTAAAGAAAGATAAGCAAATTAATTTATTAATACTTAAAAAAAAAAAAACTATAATTGTTGATTAGAAAAGGAGAAAAAAAAAGAAATATAGCAGATAAAACTTGAAGAAAAAAAAAAAAAAAGAAAAACTTAAGTCAATAGTTTATTTTCTACTCTCTTTTTTCTTCTCTCTTCTTCATTATACATGATTACAAATAATATCTCGTCCAATACCACGTAAAACAAGTGAACGAAATTCATCATAATTTAAATTACCATCAAAATTTGCATCAACTTTTTGTATATAAGCATTCAATGCATCAATGTTTATTGTTCCATTTAATATAGGTAAAAAACTACTCAATTCAGTTACATGTATTGTACCTGATCGATCACGATCTAATATATTAAAAGCACGCTCAAGTTCGTCATTTGCATAATAACCCATTATAAATGGACGTAAAACATTAATAAATGCATCGAATGATAATGCATTTGATAGTTGATTTGCTATTTTTTGATATTGGTCATATGATATTGTTACATCATATTGACGATTTCGTTTTTCTCTATTTTGTCTTGCTATACTTGTTGATGATGATGATGTTGATGATTCAATAACAATTGTTTCATCAAATTGATAATCAACTTTTGTTACTTTACCAACACTATTTTGATGAACAATCTCTGTTATTTCATATTCAATATCCATGTTAGATTTCTAAATAAGAAAGTAAAGATAAGTAATATTGTCTTCAAATAGCTTCTTATAAAGAAAATTTCTTCTTTTTTTTTTACAAGAAGATTCGATACATTTTTTTTGCTATCGATATATATATAATAAAAGCTTACATTATTTGCTTTTGTTTATGGCTTGAATATGTTGCGGTTGCAGCTAAAAAACAGAACTGAATTCTTTAATGTTGACGTGGTTTTGTACATGGATGTGTGATGGTATATATGATGTCTCTCATAAATCATACTTACCTATGCAGATCACAATAACAAACACTTAACCTTCTCTTTTTCTCCCTTCAAATATGTGATTTAGTAGTGCCTAGAGAAAAATACAATCGAAAAGTCTATTCTTTGATCAGTTCGTTTGGCAAGATCGTATAAATATCTACTTTAAATTCGTTTATGTTGTTGTTGGATATGATCAATATTTGCTCAGTTATAACAGTATTTTGTCAACGATTTATTTTTAAGAAAAATAAAAAGAGATACAAAGAAAATCTGAAATGAAAACTGTTATGAAATCGAATCTCATCAATAAGTTTTTTTTTTCTTATAGCTACAACAGTTTTTAAGTAAAGAAGAACAGAAAGTAATATGACAAAGAAAAAGGATTTTAAAAGTGATAACCATAAAACGAAAACATTATTAAAAAAGAATGTGTTTATCGACTGTCTACAAATATAATCATCAACATGAATGTATCATAGTAAAAATACACAATATTCGAAGAAAAATAATTCATTGGAAACATATGAAAAAAAATAAATCGTTAAGTTTATCATTCTTTTATTATTATAAATATTTCGATAATCATTATCTTTCATTTAAAATTGTTTATTAATTTTCAGAGGATACATTTCATGAATACGTATAAGATAAAAAAAAAATAATATTTTCTTCGTTTTAGTCGCAATAATGGTTGAAATTGATGATCAATATGTTCATAATAGTTAAATGCATAATCGAACTTTTTGCCAGTATTAATGTTAATCTTCTTATAAGATAAACTAATTTGTATTAATATTATTTTTTTTTCTTGTTATTTGATTTGAATAGTTCTATACCATGCTAGATTAGATATTATGAATGAATTCAATCAAATGCTTAATAAATCTATTTAGAAATGTATTCTATTAAAATATAATAAATATTCTTATATTAACATGACATTGATTTTTTAATCTATGTTAAAAAAGAAATCAACAATTAAATTTCTTGATTTTAATCAATCAATAATCTTACTATCCCATAAAAAAACCAGCTAAAAGAGTAAACAAAACTTGTTGAAACTTTTTTAAAATAATAAATTGAATTCATTAAAAGAAAATTCTTTTTTCTTTTTTTCTAAACATGCTTATAATTAAATTCCTAAATGATCATAAAACATACATATTACCAAAAAGGTATTCAAATCATAATGATTACAGTTGAATGATAAGATTAAACTAAGGTTTGCTTTTGCAAAAAAATCAATTAAAAGAAGTCTTTACTATTTTAAAACCAACTTTAAACTAATGTTTAGGAGAATTTCATGTAAAATATTTTAACGGCTGAGTAATAAGCCACTCTCAATACTGTGTTAATAAATCCGATTTTATTAAAACGCATCAACCGATAACAAAAAATTGAAAAATATCCGTTGATATATGGTATTTTCTTCACAACGAAAAAATTCCATCATATATTCACATAATCTATATATATGTAAAGGATGATACGATGTGGAATGTTCCAATATAATCATTTTGCGTCAGTGCTTCATCATGAATATTTTTATTATGAAACCAAAGCTTCTATTTTATTCTTTATTACTTTTACTAGATTTGCCATTATTAAGTTAAGTGAACGGTCGAGAAATAGATGTCAATGATAGATTATAGTGTTTATTATTATGCAAATGAATATATTCCAAATGAGATGATGGTATTATGTTATTTATAACAGTGCAGATTTACCTAGAAGTGAGACATAAAGGGTATCTCATTATAAGTAAGGAAGAATTGTCAAAGATATTCGTCATAATTTTTCTTGGTATAGTAAGTTTAGAGGACATCACCGAATAAGTCATCAAATTGGGTCCTCCCTCTGGACACTGTTCCGATTTCTCTAAAAAGAAGTTTCACACATTTTTATGTCGTTCTACGTATTACTATCTGCAACTTCATGGTGTCAGATTAATTTATCTAGATATATTTTTCCTGAGAAGTTTATCATTTTATATGCACTTTCCCATTGTGATAAATCTATTTTATATACTACGAAAGTAGCAGATAAGTCAATTGTTTTCTTAGATGTCATATACCAAATAATGCACCTAATTTTTCTGTAGAAAATAATGATAAACCATCGGTACTCTGAGTAGATAGAGGATGAAAACCAGATACATATGTTTAAGATAAATATTCAATTTTTACCCTTTTTGCTTTCAATCTGGAAAAAAACCAGTTCCAATCTAATACATTATTTTTCCTTATGATTCAAGTGACATAATTGAAACTTTCACAGCTATGATATAACTATTTTAATTAATTTAACATATATTTCTATGAAGATTTTGTTGAATGTAAAACAAAAACACTTTTTAGGCAAATGCATCTACATAAATAAATCTGACGCCGTGAAGTTGCAGATAACAATGAACAGAACGATATAAAAATATGCAAAATTTCTTGTTAGAGTGATTGAAATGCTGCCTAGAGAAATGCCAAATGTGTTGATTTACCCAGCAGTGTCTTTTCGCTGGTTCTACTCGAAGATGCATTGAGTTATTGACATAAGGGAATGAGACAATCCGATTGGAAGGCTTCAAGATTACACACAATTTCTCTCGATGGATGTGATCATCATTATTGCCCCAAAATATGTATTCCAAATATAGCTGAACTAACATGTTGCTAAATCGCCTTTCAAACTCCACACTAGAGTATAAAAAGATCAAGATTTCTTCTTGATTGATAATAGGCAACAATCATGAGTTCGTTTATTCCTACAGATGAAGACATGATTGACTGAATACTAGGTTCACAGATCAATATCATGTTCCAAGTGTTTCCAATCGAAAATTATTTGAATACAAGATTTTGAGTAGAAGCATGGTGAGAACTATTAAGTTGATATCAACTAAATTAGTTAACGTTTGTGGATTGACTCATTGCCTTTCTTCGCGATGCCTATTCTATACTGAGCAACAATGAATTGTTCCAATTGTGATCTCATCTATATTGTTCATTGATTCGAATAAAAAATTGTGAGTAAAGTCGTTGTTATTGAGAGTAATTTTCTCTAGAAAGAACTAAGGACACAGCTAAACTAAAATGGTCACAGTGAATAAGGAAAAGAACATTCTCATCCGATATTCCTTGCACTACAAAAGATATTTCTACATAAGTTGGGTTTTTTTTTCTCAGCAGAAAATGCTTTTCTTTTTCTGCCAATATCCTCTCATATCATTGCGTGTTACTGTTTAATTGTTGTTTGGCTTTCTCTTTTTTCTTTTGCAGAGTGTCAGTCAATGTTAACAATACCTGTTCGATTTATTCTTCTTCTCCTTCTAACAAGCATATCTCAAGCATCGATTTCAAATTCAATAATTGACGCAGATGTTGCTGAAATCATCAGTCTGAATGAAGCACTGACATCTAATTCACCGGCTGTTTTTCACCGAATGAACTCACTCGTATGTGAGATGATCAATACGTGTTGTCCATTTATCAAACCACAGTTAGGCGAGTATCTAGACACCACTTTTGATGGTAGCAGCGCTCTGGCTGACGCGTGCATCGGCAATCATGTACATGATTCCCACATTTTTACTTGTCCAACGCTCGTCAAATTTTCAACCCTTGCTCTTGACGAAGATTTTCATAAATATATCAATGTCATTCGTACGACTGTACATGATATGCAAAGTTCTGCCGTCCATGTAAAGCACACGTGTTCATCAGACGAGGCTTACGCTGTATTATGCGACTCGAGTAAACGAAAAGAAGTAGAATCATGTGAACGAAACCATCTAATATACGCGGCAAAGCATCTAAGTGATGTGGACTATCAAACTTTTGTGCGAGATAAAAAGAAGAATCTTCGTTTACTTAACAACGCGATCAAGAGAGCCTTTCCCATGGAAAATATCATCGAAACAACGATATCAGCTAGCATTGTAGGTGTTGAGACAAAGATGATATCGTCATTTTCTACAACACAAATGTCAAATGCATCATCGGCTTTTGCACAAACAACGATGTGGATATCTATGATCTTATTATTTTTTCTATATTCAGCTTTTTGTTATTGAAACTGAGCTGTACAATTTCTTAAAAATTATTTAGCTATCTCTTTTATATCATCATATGTTCTTTCTATTGTCTTCGAGTTCTAATGAATAAACTTAAACCAGAACTAAATAACAGGGTAGATTGAATGTTAAACATTTCATTTCCCTCATACCAAGTCGAATTATATTTGAATGTTGATTTGAATTAAATATAATTAATACATTAGTTTATTATAAATCAATTGTTTCATGCAAAGGATGTTCCAGAAAATCTTATCTCAATTTCGTATTTTCATTAATTTTCTCATTTATTGACAAAGCCTTATTTACTAATTTGATCTGTGATGACACGAAACCTATGGCAATTTATGTAGAAAACATTTCTAATAGACATTGCAATGATATGTCTGTATTTATAGAAAAGTGCAGTAAAACTAAGAAGGAAAAAGCGAGACTTCAGGTTTTTCAAGTACAAGTGAAGTACGCACTCTTGAAGTCT